GTAAACGATAAACGATGAATCACCGTCACCGTGCACTACCGATGCTGAAATTTAATTCACCGCTGCGGAACGAACCAACGAACGAGAATCACTTTTATCCAGCCGTTTACGATATAAATTCTGTCTCGCCCGAGCTAGCGACGATCGAGCGGAAGAAGATCGATCTGCGTATCCGTGGTCAATCGTCGACTATTTAGTTTGAACCACCGAGACTAAGTAGAATATTTGTCGCAAAGAAAATTGGAGCAGTTTGCGGCAAAATAATAATGTCCAACAAGGAACGCAAGCTTCTGTTAAAAATCCCTCGAGTGCCTTTTCCATAGTTACAGCGTTAAAATCGTAGACAATAGGAAGAAATACGTTTTTAGAGAAAACACGGAAAAACTAGAAAAAACAGGCAAACGTTCGAGCGTACTCTCGAGTCTCTGGAAAATGCAGCTTTCAACGGGAAAGTGTTTTTCTTTTGTTTTTCTCTTTTTTTTTTTTTTTTTTTTTTTTACTTCTCGCGGGTGGAATCACTGTCTAAAAACAGATTTATATCAACAGACGAAATTCAGTGGATAAATTGACAATTATCTGTCCATTACTTTCGTAAAAAGACCTGACCGATTACAGCAGGAATGTGTGTGTGTATGTGTGTGTTGAAATATCCCGGTTCTTTAGCCCCTGGATTTTCGGAAGCGTTCCCGGCGTTCCAGACAACGATCCGGTTTTCATCGGAATTTCAAAAGTTATTTCGATATATCTGGCCAGCGTGGTTCCCACGGAGAATTGAAAGCTGACGCGGTGCACGTACGTGTATACGTTGTCGTCTCCGATGGATATTGGGCAGAGCGAATAGTAGGGAAGTTCCGGAGGGGGGGGGGTGGCGGAAAATCTGGCCGCGGCGGCGACGGGGGTGAAGGAGAGAACAACTCACCGAGAGAAGCAATCACCGGTTGACTCGCGGCGGTAGCTCACCTCGAGGTAGATCCTCGCGGTCTCGAAACAGAAAGGTGACTGTCCGTCCGTTCTGTTCGTCGCAGGCCTCGTAAACTCGCAAGAGGTGTGCACACCTACCTCTCCTACCTACCTACCAGCTCTTTGGCTCCCCTTTTTCTTTCTTTCTCTCGGCCATCCTACGATTCACCATACGGCCACGCAGGATGCACTCTTTCTCCTCTCTACTCTCTCTCTCTCTCTCTCTCTCTC